GTAATGCTGGTAATGCTGGTAATGCTGGTAATGCTGGTAATGCTGGTAATGCTGGTAATGCTGGTAATGCTGGTAATGCTGGTAATGCTGGTAATACCTTTTCTTGCTCCTTACTTAATAACAAAGATACTTGTTTCGTTACTTTCAGTTCACATCTGCAGATGAACCCACCGCTAGATAAACAAGATGCCGGACAAGGTTCAGTTGCCGGACAGTAGTGTTAATAAGACATAGCGAACTCCGATTGCCTTAGGTCTTAAATCTAGTTACTTTATAGTACGTTTGACTCTATCGCAAGGCATAGATGATGTGCTCCGCTAATGGGATGCCTTTCACCGCTGTGGTGCTGTGCTCATTAAAATTTCGTGTGTCCTCACGCAAGGCGAGAGTTGACTGTATTATATATATGATATTAACTCAGTCGTCCTTACTTTATGACTGGGTTACTTCCCTAGTGAATGGAAGGCCCCCTTGTAGAATACAAAATGAAAAATATTCAAGGGTTTTTTCAAACAGCGAAGTTCCGTAGAATTTCAAAGTGTTTGTTTGGCATGCTCTTAAAATTAAATTAGGATTGACTTTATTGCTATGCTTGCTTTTAAGTTCATCTATGGAATTGCACCTTTGTAAAGGTCCATAGTACTTCAAGATATAATTAATGATCCAATGAGTGGATACTCAATAAGAGGACTAGCTTGGCGATGGGGCGGCATTCTAGTTTCTGTAACGCACCAAACATATGGAACAAATGACCATATCTCAAAGCTTACTAGAAAAGTTTATTTTTTTGTTCACTCATTTCTTTGGAAATATAATTCGGCAAATGTTACTTTTTGATCTACGTTTCGACCATACTTCGTCGGTCTTCAAGTTCTGGCGTTCCTGACAGACATACGATAAGTTTTTTTCCCCAGTTGTTTACATTGTTTATAATGTCGAAGAAATCTTTTGAATGATAGCTTTTGATCTACGTTTCGACCGTACTTCATTGGTCTTCAGGATCTGGCGTTCTTGACAGACATACGATAAGTTTTTTCCAGTTGTTTACATTGTATATAATTTAGAAGAAACCATTTGAATGATAGCTTGAGTCAGATGTTTATTGGAGTACATATGTGTATACATTATTTAAATTATCTTGTACATATTAGATAATATAAATTTAATATTATTTGTGTTCTGATTAGATTATTATTAGATTTTTAGATCCTATAGTATAGATAATTAAATGTTAAGAGCCTGATATCTTTTTTATTCAAAATCAAAAATCGACTCCTAAATTTCAACTGGAATTACAGTGGATGAAGAGCTACTCTTTAGAAATGCCACTGCTAAATCCTATTTATTATTTATTTATTTATTTATTTTGTTATTATTCACTCGTGTTCCATATGATATTGCTCGCTCGCTCACGGACTGGCTCGTTTGCGATATAATAAAGAAAATTCATTGTCAAGTTAATAATTTAATAATATTTAATAATGTGATAAATATGTGTGATTCTTATAGAGGCTTTGCACCATCACGTGATGGCCGCCATGACAGCGGGCATAACAATAGTCTTTTCCCCCTGGGAAACTGAATCCTTTCTAATGTAAATCAGATTAGACCAGAATCAATTGTTCCTGCCTCCTGTCATGGCTACCATCACGTGATAATGCCAAAGCCTCTATTCTGATTCTTATTGGTCGGAGCTTGTGGTCTATTCACAGCAAGATAAATACATGTTAGTTCATATGATATTCATTATATCGCGGGAAAAATGGGATTAAACTAAAAACACTAGTCTGATGTTTGTCTAGAGCCTGTAGTCTATTCACAGCAAAATAAACTGATACATGTTAGTTCATATGATATTCATTATATCGCGGGAAAAATGGGATTAAACTAAAAACACTAGTATGGTGTTTGTATTTCTTGCCTTCCACAAAGTGGAATGGGATTGGATGGGATAAATACGATGAATGGTTGTGATAAGATGGGAAGCATAAAGAACACAGTCCTCCTGGGTATTCTCTTACGCGTGCCATTTCTCACAGCTTATCGTGCTTTTTTATTGAATCTATGATTTCTTTTGGCATACAGGCATTGCTTTTTAGCGCGTTTTGTCTCATTTGGGGAACTAATCTGTCGATCAATAGGTAATGTGCATTAAAGCTTACAAAACACTCTAGAAACATCCAAAACATCGATCTAAGGTAAAAAATTACTTTGTTATTTTCGTTTGTGTTGAAATACTTACATTTCCAAAGTAAATGCGCGGAAGAAAAAGTTTGAGCCGAAAAAGCTTAAGTACTCGTGTGCTCGTGCACATTGGCCACTATCCCATTAAGTATTGTTTCTATGTATGGAAAAACCTCATTAATATCGCGAGATTAAAATGCTA